CCACCCCTGGTGCCCTGTGCTCTGTAGGACGGGTGGGTGGGTGTGGCTCACTGGAGTTTAGTGGGTCCAGACTAGGACTCAGGAATAACAGAATTGGGGACCAGCAGTTGGTGTAATGGCTATGTCACTGGACTCCCGTGTGGTCGACCACGGTTCAAGTGCCAGACTTGGTGGCTTGAACTCACGCCAGGCGCGTGTGCGTGCGTGCCCAAGATCCTGAGAGGAAAATGGTGGAGAAGGGATTGCAGCGTGGCCATCGCCCCTGGGGGGGAGGGGGTGACTTCTTGTGTTCTGTCTCTCTCTGTTTTTCTGGGTATGCAAAAACCTCTCCACAAAAGAAATAACAGAATTGAATAGGGACTTTTTTTTTTTTTTAATTTGATATAGGGTGTGTATGCTTGCCAGAGAGAGACAGAGAGGAACAGAGAGAAAAGGAGAAAGCACCTCGGGGGATAGCCACACTGCAGTCCCTTCTCCGCCATTCTCCCCTTAGGATTTTGGGTGCACATGTGCACGTCCCTGGCATGTTTTTGGGCTGCCAGGTCTGGGATGCCAACTCTGCAGTTGGCCATGTGGGATCCACCACCCCCAGGCTGGCCCAGACCACTCCTGCATAGCAACAGTGTCGTTATTTCTTGGCCGTCAGGTTCAGTGCAGACACGTGGCAGAGGCAGGTGCCTGTTCACTGTCACCTGGCCCACCACTGACAGTCACTGGTGGAGGTGGGCCCTGCCCGTCGCTCTCTGTGGTTGGAGAAGGCCTCCTCTTGGCCTTACCCTGGCCGTCTCTCTGACCACCTCTCTCCACTGCTGGAGGAAGCTTTGTGAAGAACTGATCCTGCGCATCCCTCTTGCTCGGCCTACCAGGGCTTATTCCTACCGACCTCAGGGCCTTTGCACAGACTGTCCTCTTCCTGTGGAGCTCTCACCCTGGAGTCTCAGCCCAAAGTCATGACTTAAAGGCCCTCCCTGAGCACCCACCAGGCAAGATTCCTTTGGTGTCTCCCCACAGCGCCCTGTTCACTTCCTGACTTTGTGAGGTACTATTTCGCTCTGTCCCCACTCCACAGCTCTGTGGGGCTGGGAAGCACAGCTTGTCACGTCCTGTGCAGCCTCACAACCAGGTGCTCAATGGCTGTGAGGAATACAGCCTGATCACACACTGCCTGAACTCCATGTGCTTGTAGCTGGCCGCCACCTGGAAATCTGTCTGCACACATGTGCTGAGGACAGCTGGACCTTCGTGGGTACCTGGGCTACCATGTGCATCTCTTTCATCTGCCGGCTCGAGGCTCAGCATCTCGATCTGCCCTTCCTAATGGCCTGGGAACAAAAACCTCCCATACAGAGTGACCATGCATTCATGGACAGGGTAAGACCGAGGTAAGATCATGTCCTCAGTATGCTGTAGGTGAGGATGTGGAGCTGCCTGTGGCCAGCTCAGGGACCCTGAGAAGGCTGTCTAACTTCAGGACCTCAGTTTCCCTACCTGTAAAACAGGGACAATGATGTCCT